GAGGTCTTTGTTACAGTTTTTGATAAGTGCGTTGGTTTAAAGTCCTTTATTTTTCCTACAGAGGGAAGTTGCTGACTCCTATGCACAGAATGCCAAAGTGATTGAAAAACAGTTGGAACGCAAAGGCATGAGCAAGAGGCGACTACAAGAGCTGGTAAGCGGTATGGGGAGGAAGGCCCAACCTTCCTGTCTTGACTTTCTTGCTTTGAATGATTTTCAGAGGCAGAGGGAGCCTTTAAGAAGCTGTTGGGACGTACTAGTATGGTTGGCTGCCAGCAGATCATACCCGAAGCTCTGACGGTGTTGGTAAACCCTGCTCTACAATAGTACTAGAGTCTAAGGCCTAAATTAGAAATTTTACTTGATAGGCCTAAGTAGGATGATGTTTTACTCTGCTGCTTGTGCTCTAAGCTCAGGAGTTAAGGGACAGGGTTTTGAGTGTTCTCCAGGGTGTGACGGCATACAATTGTGCTACCTCAGTATACCTAAATTGGAGGTATCATTGCTTTTAAAGCCTTGTCCATGGGATTGACTTAGAGCACAGCACCTCTGTGTAGGGTGGGATCTACTTTCCTTTCTTTTTAAAAATTATTAATGAAATTTGTTCTTTTGTAATTTCATGTTGGGATATATACTATACAATCTGGTTGCTCTTACCCCTGCCCTTTTATCTTCCTCCCACTCTTGTTAACACCTAATTTCTTTGTGTTTTTTGGATAATAATGTTTAGATATTAATAGTTGCTTATTTCATTAACCTCAGAGATTAGTTCATTGATGCTGTATCAAAAACTATTTTTTTAGGTTAGCATGCAAAATAAAGAGTTTCATTATGGCATTTTCATAAATATATCACATTACTTTTGTTCTCATTCTTTCCCCATCCCACCACCCTTCCCATGTTCCTTGTCCCCTCTGATTGGTCTCCTTCCTTCTTCCACATAGTCTCCCCTCCTTTGCTTTTTTGTTCTTTCTGTCTCTATCTCTGTCTCTGTCTCTCTCTGAGACAGTATTAGTCCAGGCTTATCTTAAACTTGCTATGTAGCCAAGGCTGGCTTTGAACTCCTGATCCTCCTCTCTCTGGCTCCCTAGTTCTGTGATTACAGGTCTACACTCTGTTTCACCTTCTACTTTCTTATCACATGTATTCCATTATCCCTCCTCCCCCTTCATGATCCTCTTTCAAGATTCATGACCTATAACACACATACACATATGATTTTAAATTAGACTTCATGAAACAGAATTTTATGTTGATGGATAAGGATTCTAAAACCACTTTTGGTTTGTACACTGAGCAGTAAGGGAGAGTGGACAGTTAAAAATTTCATTATTATGATATATCAGGGCATACTTTTTTTCTTTCCAGGCTGAATTGGAAGCCAAGAAAGCAAAAATGAAGGGGACCCTGATTGACAACCAGTTCAAATAATCAAGATCTTTCTGAGTGCTGACTGGATGCCAACATTTAGATCAGGAAGAATAACTTCAAGATTTCATAGTCTAGTTTCTAATTATGTCCCAAGATAAAAGCATCCCATTGTTTTTCCTACATTGCTGTTCTTTTCTTTCATTCAAGTCCTTAACTCCATTTCACTTATTCTCTAAGAGATAGATTGTTTTCAAAATTTTTGTATATCTATGTTTTCTGTCTTTTTTGTCTTTGAGACAAGGTCTTGTTACATACCAGGGGCTGGCCTTGAACTTGTGATCCTCCTGTCTTAGTCTCTTCAGTGCTGTAATTACAGGACTGCACCACTGTGCCTGCTTGCTCTACCAGTCCTTGTTTCATTTGAAGTACATTACTTCTGCGAAGTATTTAGAGATAGTAAGTGTTTGAGTTCTCTTTTGTCTGAGGTAGATGCATTTTTTTTATTTCTTCCTCAAAATAATACAGTGTTTAAAGATCTTTATTTAATATGGTATGAGAAGAAAGTGGCAAAAATTAAGTTTAAAGTTAAAGCCAGGTGGATCCTTTTTAGAAACTCTGTCTCTGATCTTCGAACTGCTCTTAAAAATTGACCATAGTTTGAATATTTCTGTTATTGTCAGTAGAGATCAGGTAGAAATGCAAATCTGCAGAAGTATTTCTTTACTTAAAGTATTAGAGTTATAGGTGAACCATGCCATATCAGATTTCAGAATTAAAGACGGAAAAGCCATGTGGCTGGGGGTGTAGAGGAGTGCATGCTAGGCATGTGTGAGGACATCTCCAGCACAAAATAGATAAATGGGTAAATAAAAGAAAGCCAGATTGCAGATGCAGGGGTAGGGTAGCTCAGGTCTGAATTAAAATATGGCCTTGCTAAGTAACCCAAAGGAGTTAACCAGTCAGCTGGGAGAATACTCTGTATGAGTACACAGGAGGGGCCATAGTGGGTTCCATTATCTGTGGGCTGTCTTGTTTTACATTTTCTATGTGCAAAAGAGCATTTTAAGTGTGTCACTCTTGAATTATGTCAATATCCACGTAATTCTTCCCATAGTCTTATCTTACCTGAATTGCAAGACATGAGGAAGCATGGAGTGTGTTGCCCTCCTAGTGTTATCTATGACAGATTGCACTTTTTAATCATTCAAGGCTTGCCTATGAGGTGTTGCCAGGAAATAGTTTTCTTTACCATTTTTTTTTCTAATTTCTGTATTTTCAGGGGTAAGTAGGTTAGAGTAGAGGTACAATTGGGCTAGCAGAAACTGGGCTAAAGTGGATTGGGGACCCTGGGAATGCAAAGGGTGGGCCTATGTTGCCACCTGCCCAGTTATTCTGTGCAGCCAGGAGGGTCTTTCTATAGCTGATTCTTCCCCACCTCATTTCTTGTCCTAGTTGTGAGACAGAATTAACATTGTATGAATGACCAGCTATGTCCACCAGACAATGACCTCTACCTGTACCCCACGTATCTCTACATTCCTATGTGTATAGGTTGAATATACCTACACCACCTTGGAAATTTAGGTTCCTATTTTCTGGTGACAGCCTCTGATTTTTGCTAGCCTCATGTACTCACATCTTTGTAAAGCTTTCAAAGGTATGTTCTTAGGTTTGAGGGGTGATTATTTTGTTTGTAATAATGAAACATAATGATAATAATAGTAACATTAATACTCAGTAGTCTCCATTGAGTACTTGGTTATGGAAAGCACTTTAGAGGTATTAGTTTACTCTTAACAATACCTCCTTTGAGATAAATTAACTATTGTCATCACTGTTTTATAAATTAGTGCTCTGAAGCTCAGAATTTTCCTTCATCAAGGTTCACTAGCCAGTAACTGGTTAAGGTAGAACACTGACTTTAAGACTCAACCTCTTTACTATGCTGAACTGCTTCTCCTGTGGAATCATGTATAGTTCGATGCGAACATAATTTCATTTTGAAAAACTAAGTGAAGTATAATGTAAAAACTTTCAGATAGAGACCCCTAAAGCAATTCTGTAGTTATATTTCTACATATCTTCTGAAATACTTTCTCTTAGATAAATCTTAACCATTTCAATATCTGGCTCAAGTTACACATTTTGCTTCTTCTAAAGATTGTAAAACGTTATGTCATTAATACCAAGTAAATATGTACTTTATTGAAAGTTATTAAAACAATATGATGTACTTTCTCTATTATTAACTTCTAGCGTTTTTCTAGCAAATGTGTTTCGATGTTAATAAAAAGAGCCATATCGAAATTTTAGAAAGTCATACTCTCTTTTCTTCTTTTTACAAATGATCAACTGTGACAAAATTATGAAAATGTTGTGAAACATTCTTACTCTATTAGTTGGGAGCATTTGGAATTGTAACTGTCTTTTAAGAGAAATTAAAAATCTTTTTAAAGACTAACCTGTCTTGTTAAGGCTGCTGGCGTGTGCATATAATTCTAAGATGTATGAGAGTCAATCTATCGTAATATGAGGATCAAGCAAGACTATCTCAAAAAAATAAAATAAAAATATGATAGAATGGAATAAACTAAACCAGTTTGTTTTGATTATCTTAAGATTCATATTATCATGTACCATATTTTCTTAGTCTCCACTGATCTTTTCTCAGGAGTATCTACTGATTTTCATTTAATTTTCTAATGGCAGATGATGTTGAATATACTTCTTTTATTACAGTTTCTTTAAAAGGGTTATTATCTTAGCCATATTTTTTTGTTTTGAGATGGGGTCTCATGTAGCAGCTGGCTCTTTTTTTGTTTGTTTGTTTAGTTTTTTGAACCGAACCAGAATTTCATAGATCCCAGGCAGATTTCAAATTTCCTGTTTGCCTGAGGCTTACCTTGAACTCCTGATCCTTCTGTCCCTACCTCCTGAATGTTGGGATTATATACTTAATGGATTTTAGTTTTAGTGGGTTTTGTTTAGTTCTTCTTTTTTATATGCATGAGCATTTTGCCTGTATATATGTATGTGTATTGCATGTATGCCTGGTGCCTATAAAGGTCAGAAGAAGGCATGAGATTCCTGAACTTTATTTATGGGTGGATACTTGTAATGTAGCTCTGGCTGTCCTGGAACTAACTCACAATGTAGATCAGGATGGCCTAAAACGCAGTGATCTACCAGCTTCTACAACCCAAGGACTAGGATTGAAGGCATGTGTCACCTTGCCTGACCCTTTTAACCATTTTTAATTATGTAGTTCAGTAGTGTTACTTTGTATTATTTTGATACAGATCTATAGAACTTTCCATCTTCTAAATCTGAAACCATACACATTGACCACTACTCTTTCCATGCTCTTTTTTTTTCCCCCCTTCAAGACAGGGTTTTTCTGTGTAGTCTTGGCTGTCCTGGACTCTCTTTGTAGACCAGGCTGGCCTCAAACTCACAGAGATCTGCCTGCTTCTGCCTCCCTGAGTGCTGGGATTACAGGGGTGTGCCAATGCGCCCAGCACATGTTTCTCTTAATCCCTGGTAATCACTGCTATTCTTTCTCCTTTTATGGATTTGTCTACCTTAGGTGACTAGTGTAAGTGGAATCATTTGGCACCTCTCTTTTTGTGATAGGCTTACTTCAGATGGTGTGAATCCATGTGTGTGATCAATCGCCTTCCCTTTTAAGGTCAGTAATAATTCCCTAGGATGTGTACTACCCTTCATTTGTTGTCTGTAGACTATTTGGGTAATGTTGCAGTGAACATGGTATGTAAAAATATCTTTTGGACATCCAATCAGTTATTTAAGATAAGTATTCAAAAGTAAGATAGCTCTAGGGTTTGTGTTTTGAGGAAAATGTTTTGTTTTTGTAGTGAGCATGCTGTACAAGTTCTCTATCACTTAACAGTGTCCCTAACCTTTAAAATTTTTTTTGTAAATAAAAATTTCGAGACAGGGTCTTGCTAGATTTTTCAGGCTAGCCTTGAACTCACTCTGTAGCCCAGGCAGACCCTGGTTTTTGTTGTTGTTGTTTTGTTTTGTTTTGTTTTTTGCCTCCTAAGGATTATGGACTCCCACCACCAGGTCTGGCTATAATGTAATTTTTCCAGGAGATTTCATTCTGTTTTCCCTAGCTGTTGTGCTATTTTGTAAACTTTCATAATCACCAACTGACAGTATACAAACGTTCAAATTTCTCTATACCCTTATTGAAATTTCATTGTATTTTTATTATATTTCTTTTGAGTATTGGTGATGTTGAATATCTTTTCGTGTGACCTTTTAGATATCATCGTTAGAAAGTGTTATGCAAGAGCTTTTTTTGCTACACACATTTATATGTTAAATTTTTATCTGTGTGTCTTTGTATAATCTTTATTTAGCTCTTATACCTTTTGTTGAATGTTTTGTTAGAGATAGAGTTTCTCTGTTTGGCTATCCTGAAACTCACTCTGTAGACCAGCTGGACTCAAACTCACAGAGATCCTCCAGTCTCTGTCTCCTAAGTGCTGGGATTAAAGGTGTGTGCAACTACCACCTGGATCTTCTGCCCATCTTTAAATCTCTTTTTTTTTTAATGATTAATTAAGAGATCTTTATTCTAAGTCCATATAGATGTATGATTTATAATCTCATCCAGTCTGTGGTTTGTGTTTTCATTTTCATTATAATGTAATTATTTCTTTTTAAGATTATCTATATTTACTTTTAATTGTACATGTGTGGCCACTTTTATGGGAGTGCTTGTGGAAGCCAAAAGAAGATATTGGATCCCCTGGAACTGGAGTTACAGATGGCTGTGGGTACTGGCAACTGAACTTCGGTCCTCAGCAAGAACAAATGCTGTTAACCACTGAGCCATCTCTCCAGTACCTATAATGCCTTTCTTGACTCAATCATAAATGCCTTCTGTACTTACAAGTTTTTTTGATATTTATATCTGTAGTCTATTTTGAGATAGTTATTGTATAATATACAAGTTGTGTGTCAGTTTCTTTTTAGCACACAGATGTCTAGTTGTTTTGACACCTAATTATTGACAAGACTATTTTTCCCTCAACTATTCTTTTATAGGGTGTCAAAAATCAGTTCATCACTGGGTGGGTATTGTGGCATAAACTTGAATTTCAGCACTCAGGAAGCGAAGGCATTTTGTATCCCTGTGAGTTTGAGGATAACCTGGTCTACAAAGCAAGTTCTAGGCCAGCCAGGACTGCATAATTGAGACCCTGTCTTATTAAAACCATCAGTTCACTATATTTTATCCATTGTCATTTTACCTGCACAGTACTTTCTATTTTTCCTTTTTAATTGTGAGGCTCAAACCCAAAGTTTTACACACGTTACATTCCACCACTGAGCTCCACCCTCCACTCCCTTTTCATTTTTCTTTTTTTTTTTTTTTTTTTTGAGTTTTGTTGTGTTTTTCCAGGCTGGTTGTAAACTTATAGGCTCAAGTGATCCTCCTGCCTCAGCTTTCCAACTGTGACTATGAGTATATGCCACTCTGACTGGCTATATAGGGTGTCTTGATTTGATTATTGCACCCTTTTCGTTAGTTTTAACATTGGGATATGATTCTTCCAGCTTTGTTTTGTTTTAGAATTACTTTTGGCTATTTTGCATTTTTGTCTCTCTAGTGTTTTAGAATTAGCTTGTTGATCATTGTCATTCTAGGATTTGGAGGATTTTGTAAAATTTGAAGATCATTTTAAGAAGACATCTGTTTAGGTCTTTTTCTTTTCATTTGTGTTTTATATTTTTTATGTACAGATACTGTAGATAATTAGCTAAAATGTATACTTGTGTACTTCACTTTTTTCTGGTGCTGTTATAAATGTAAGCTTTTTTGTAAAATTAATGAATTTTTATGCTTTTCAAGTTTTTTTTTTTATGTACATGTGTGTTTTGCCTGCATGTATATAAATGTAGCGCATACATGCCTGGTGATAAAAGAAGCTAGAAGAGGGTGTTGGGTCCGCAGGAATTGGAATTACAGATAGTTATAAACCATTGTATGGGTGCTGGGAATGAAACCAAGGTACTCTGCAAGAGAAGCAAGAATATGATCCTAGCCCGTGAGCCGTCTCTCCAGCCCAGTTTTTCTGTTTTTGCTTTGTTTTCTGAGACAGGGTAGAGCCCTGGCTGACCTCAAACACATTGTATATCCAGGAAAGACCTTGAAAACCCTCTTCTGCCTATCTCTACCTCCCAAGTGTTAGGATAACATCCTTGCACCTACACACCTGGCTTTTTGTTTTGTTTTGTTTTGTTTTAAAAAATTCAAGTGATATGTAATGTTTCATTACGACATTTCTATATAATTTGGTTTTTTTTTAACAATTTATTTAATTTTATTTTCTGTGCATTGGTACAAAGGTATTAGAATCCCTGGAACTGAAGTTATAGACAGTTGTGAGCTGCCATGTGGGTACCAGGAATTGAACCTGGGTCCTTTAAGGAAGAGCAGGCTGTGCTCTTAACCACTGAGCCATTTCTCCAGCCCCACATAATTTGTTTTTGTTGATGTTCCCCATCCCCTTTTCTTTCCATTCCCTGGCGCCTCTTGTACCCTTCCACTCCCAGGAAAACTTTTTTTTTTTTTTTTTGCTTTATGTCACCTATGTTCTGTTACTATACCCACTTTCTTTTTCCCCTTATGGTCCCCTTTTTAGTTTCGTGACCTATATTTGAAAGGTAGGATCCACATATGACAGAGAATGTGTGGTATTTGTCTTTCTGTTTTTCTGATCTGGATGATGTCACAGAATTCATTCTGTAAACTTTCACTTTAGTCATACAGTCTGCCTTCTCTATTCTTATACCTGGATAGTTGAATGGCCACATCTTGTAAATCAGTGGAGTTTGAGGCCATGAATGTATGGTTCTTATGTCAGATAGGATCTCACCCCAGATAGTCAATTGTTCAATTCAATGTTTGGGGGCCAGCAACTCGATTACTTCTATCAGATCAAATTAAGGTCTTTTTCCTCTGATCTTTCAATCTTTCTCTCCCTGCAAGCCCCACCCCCCTCCCAAGCAAATGGCTTCTGTCTCCAGAGCACTAAGAGCAGGGAAGTATATTTAGATGCTTCTGTCCTTTTGACTTTGCAGTCTGGGGGAGGGGGGAAATGTGTCTTCCTGTTCAAGGCTTATCCACTATGTTTTAGTCATTTAGCTGTCTCTGTGTGTGCCATTGGAACATGGGGACATAGTAGTAAAGAAAGCACTTTACATTGTGAAAGCAAAGTGACAGGAACTACTGAGTATGAAAATGGAGTTTAGGGGATGGTTCAACAAGCCTACCAATTTGCATTCAATTCCCAGAATTCATGATAGGAAGAGAGAACTAAAAGTTGTCCTCTGACCTTCATATATGTGTGACATGGTTGTACATATACATCCACAAATAATACATTGTTTAAAAGTTAAAGAAAATTTTAGTTAAACTAATATGATATGAAACTGGCCAGATGGCTTAGAGTAGAGTACTTCCCATACAGGTGTGGGGAATTGGAGTTCATATCCCCAGAGCTCATGTAAAAGTCTGATGTAGTAGCAGACATGTGTGACCCCAGTATATCTATGGTGTGGTAGGAGGCAGAGACAGGAGAATCCCCAGAAGCTTGAGGCTAGGTAGCCTAGCATATGCAGCAGTAAACAAGAGACTCTGTGTCAAAGTAGAAGATGGATAACTAAAGTTGTCCTCTCATCTCCACATGTGCTTTCCTACACTCATAGAGAATTATGGGTCAAGCTGGGTATGGTGGTGCACACCTTTAATCCCAGCACTCAGGGAGGCAGAGGCAGAAGGATCTCTGTTAGTTTAAGGCCAGCCTCGTTTACAAGGCAAGTCCAGGACAGCCAAGGTTACACAGAGAAACCCTGTATTGGAAAAAAAGAAAGGAAAGAAAGAGAATTATGGGTCATCAGAGAAGTGGGCTCCTAGGAGGAGCCATTTCTAATCCATGTGATATCTGAAAAAGCTGAATGAGCCAACATAAAAAAAGCTTAGGGAAAGTATTCCAGTTGATGGCATTGAAAAGTACAGAAAGAAAGAAGCTTACTATGGAGAAACTAAAAGGATGGGAAGTGTGACTGAGTGAAAGAGCAGGAAGTGAGGTTAAAGGCATGAGCAGAAGCTAGGCCATAGAAGGCCCTGTAGACTGGAGGAAGGATTTGGAATCACAGATGTAGTAGTAAGTTGTTAGAAACTTTCAAGCCAAGGTGTAACATTATATGATTTATGGCTTTCATTTTATTTTAAAAATGTGCATGTCTTCGGGGTTGACCATTTGGCATTGGACAATCAATTGGTGTGCTCTTCCCTGGGAAAGACTATTTCCCCCATTTTCAACATTCCTTAGTTGTCTGTAGTTCTTTGTGTAGGGTTGAGGCCGTGTGGGCTTTCCCTTGTCTACTTCAGCATGTCTGTGGTTGTTGTTATGTCATGTTATGTTCTAATCACAAAAATAAATATATATATATATATTTTTAAAAGACTTTGAAAAAATTACAGTGCTAGGGATTGATCCTAGTGCCTTGCACATTCTACACAAGCATATTACCACTAAACTACGTACCTAGGTTCCCTGGTTCATGTTTCTTTTTTTCTTATTTATTGTTAATTATGTGTGTGCATGTATATCTGTGTGTTGTATATGTCCACATGTTTGCAAGTACTCATGGAGGCCAAAGGTGTTGGATCCCCTGGAGCTGGAGTTATAGGCAATTGTGAGCTGCCAGTTGTGAGTGCTGGGAATCAAACTTGTTGTCTGGAAGAGTGATTTGTGCTCCTAACTGCTGAGCCATCTATGTAGCTCCATTCCTGCTTTAAAATAATAGCTGCAATATGGAGAATGGCTTGTCATAGGGAAGCAAGAATGAAAACAGGGAGGCCAGTTAGTACACCATTTTTGGCAATCCAATATGAAGTATGATTAAGGGGAAATTCCAGAAAGGAAAGTGAATGAATTTGAGATGTGGCTTGGTGGTGGTGGGGTCACTATCAAGGCTATCTGCTGGATGAGATGTGGGGAATGAGGATAAGAGACAACCCAAGCTATTCTAGCTCCTTGAATTAGGTCTAGAATAATTGAGTGAATAAGTGCCATGGTCTTTTTTAAAAAGCTTTCTTGTATTTCTCTCTGGGTGGGAGTGGGGTGGGGTGTCATTGTGTGCAGGTGGAGGTCAAAGGAAAATTGTGTGGAGTCAGTTCTTTCTTTTCACCCTGTAGGTTCCAGGCTTACACAGCAAATGCCTTTTCCCGCTGAGCCATCTTGCCAACCTGGAAGTATCATTTTCTCAGATGGAGAGGAACAGCTTTGTGAGGAAGCAAATGACTGTGTAGTGCACATGTTTCTGAAATGCTTATTGGCTAAGTGGAGATGCCAGGTAAGCAGTTGGATGTTGAGTTAGTCAGACATTTTGTCATTGTGACCAAAAGCCCAAGAGAAACAATTTTAGAGGACTTACTGTGTCTGTAATTTCAGGGCTTACATAAAGGCTGATAATTAGCCTCCATTGTTTCTGGGCCTGAACTGAGGAAGAACATCATAAAGGGAAGTAGAGGACCAGAGCCAGGAAATAGTAACAGGAAGGGGCTGGGGCAAGATCTAAACCCAAAAGCATGACCCCCAGTGACCTTTTTCCTTTAACTATCACTACTTTCCTATTGGAACGTCCATTACTGTCCAATTTTTAAATCTATCAATGAATATAACCAGTTGTCTGATGACCTTACAGACACAGCAATGGGTGTGTTCTACTAATCTGGGTATCTCCCAAACTAATCAAGTTCACAATCAAGATTAATCATAACAGATCCTGCGGTATCTGTTATGATTAATCAGCCATGGTGGTGTCCTTTCCACCTGTGACTACCCCTGCCTGTGGTCTTTGCTTCCCATACTGACCTTGTCTCAGCTGTTCAGTACCACTCTGCCCTGAGGGAACCTGGAGGAGACCCGGGGCTCTGCAAACTAACTTGGCCCTCTCGCAGATGACTCAAGGTGACTTTGCAGGGGCTGGTCAGGGGTCAGGACCCTGGGCCACCTGGGCAGGCAGGAGGGCCCCCAGCAGCCTGTACAGCAGCTGCAGGGGTGATTTGGGGTACAAAGCTAGACGACCTGCCTAACAAGTTTTGGTTGGTCCTTGTCATAAGTGTCTTATTTGAGTATAGGACTTTGACCAAGTCTCAACTGAACAGCAAAATTGGGCACCAGCTCTTATTCTTGAGGAGTGGCAATGAAGTTTAGTTGAGGGAGGGAGTGTAGAGCACCTACTGCAGGTATTGTCCGTTATAATGACAGCAATTACTGTGGTCACTTCCTAGAAAAGGCTAAAGACAATGCACAAGGGGGAAGCTACTACCTACAATAGTCTTCTTCAGAGTATTCTCTTCCTAGAGTTCTGTTGTAATTTTTTCCTTGTGGCACCTTTTGGCTGTGAGCCTTCTATAAGTAAGGATAGGAAATAAGCACCTGTAGCTTGCATAGCTGATGAAACCAGTGGAAACCAGTGTGAGGCTGAAACTCTGTGCGGACGTGACTTTCATCCCAAGATGCCCAACAGAAGACTAACTAGCCCTCTTTCTGATCCCCTTCTGACTTATTCCTCTGGGATCAGGCCCTGGTGTAGCATTTTAAGTTCCCCATGTATATCCAAGTTTAGGAACTACTGTAGGATAGATAGACTCTGAGCCAAATTGAAGAACCCTTTTTCCTACTCATGAGCTTCCTGTGGTAGTGGTTTCAGTCTCACCTGCACACTACAAGAAATAAAGATCTAAATCCGTTGTTGAGATTCACTGACAGTGTAATAGATACATAGGCCATTGTCCCATTGGCTATATCAAAAGGTTGCCATTAAGAAGGACTATCTCTGACATGAACTCAGTGGCTGACTCTTTGACCTCCTCCCAGGGAGGAGCAGCCTTGCTAGGCCACAGAGGAAGACATTGCAGCCAGTCCTGATGAGACCTGATAAGCTAGGGTCAGATGGAAGGGGAGGAGGACCTTCCCTATCAGTGGATTTAGAGAGGGGCAGGGAGGAGATGACGGAGGGAGGGTGGGATTAGGAGGCAATGAGGGAGGAGGGGGCTACAGCTGGGATACAAAATAAATAAACTGTAATTAATATAAAAAATAAATTTTTTTAAAAAAAAAAGAAAAGGTGCTACAAGGGTAGTAAAATTGTTGTTTGCGTTTAGAGACTGATATCAGATTAGGCTAAAATATAAACTTAGTCTTACACACAGATCATCAGGATTATAATAGAACACTGTGATCCACTAGGTCTGGAAGGTATTTGTTTTCATGGGCTTTCCAGGTGGGGTCTTGAGACCATGTTTTGAATGAGTGGTGCTATCTCTGCCTGGTTTATATAGACAGCAGAGGAACACCCCTCCCCCCAAAAAAAAAACGATTAATCATAACAGAGATATAATCTTTCAACCCAATTGTGGATGACTTAGTACAAATACAAGTTTGGGAGTTGTCTACGAGTGGAAAGATGGCTCAGCAGTTAAAAGAGTACTTACTCTTGCAGAGGATACAGGTTATGTTCCCATTACCAATGTGGCAGTTCCCAACTGTCTGTAACTCTAGTTCCAGGAGATCTGAGAGCTTCTGGCCTCCACAGATACCAGGCACACATGTCTCTCTCTCTTTCTCACACAGATATACACACACACACACATATGCAAACAGTTATCCACATAAAATAAAAAAAATAAATAATTGGGAGTTTTCAGTACATAGATGCTAATTAAAGACATGAGACAGGATGTGGTTGCTAAATATAAAAGTATAGAGAGCAAAAAAAGATAGATCCTAAAGAATTGAGTCCTTTGGTACTGTATCATAGAAATAAAATCATCAAAACTGAGAAGTTGTGGCTAATGTTGGATAGATGTTAGTACAGGACTGGAAACTACCTGATACAGCAGAAACACCAGTCCAGTAGGAAGTTGGTCCGTGAAAGGAACAACTATCCAGTGGAAACCACAGAGGAGGTGCAATTGCTGCTGGAGGCAACATTCATAACACAGAAAGGAAGGGAAATATCCTGGCTTTCCCCTCTTCTCTTGTCCTGGCAGTAATTCCCATCAGTTAAAACATATTAGGAAGTCAGAAAAGAAAAGAGCATGGGAAATGTCATCATCTTCTTTACTCAGCATAGCAGGAAGAAGCAAATGGGCAAATGACCAGCTAGAGTTTAAGGGAAGAGGAAATGATCATCTGCCAAATGCCACAGATAAATATGATGAGGGCTTGGAAATGCCTGTTGTATTTAGTAACAAGCAAAAGGTTGGTGATCTGGACAAGAGCAACAGGAATAGAGCTGTGTCAGCAAACACCTGACAGAAATGAGTTCAAGAAAGAAGGACAAAGAGGAGTTGCAGCTTTGATTATAGGGAAAAAATGTTTTTACTGAAAAGAAAAGGAGGAGAGCCTGGTGCCGTGACTTATGCCTGTAATCCCAGCACTCAGAGAGACAGAGACAGGCAGATCTCTATGACTTTGAGGCCATCCTGCTCTACAATGTGAGTCCAGCATAGCTAAGGCTACACAGGGAAACACTGCCTTGAAAAAAACAAAAAAGAGGAGAGGAATGGAAAAATGGTATGTAAGGAGGGGGAAGTAAGACTGACAAGTACTCTCAAGATAGGAGAAATTACAACAGAGTTGAATACTGATGAAAAAAATCCAAGAGAGGAATAAGAATGGATGATACAGAAAAGGGCATTATTGGAGGGATATAGTTGAGCAGGCTGGGGACAGATCTGGAGAAACTCAGTGAAAGCTGAGGGAGTGCATAGCATAGTGGTATAGTGCTCCTCCCCTTCCATCTGACCCTACCCTATCAGGTCTGCCCCCTAGCAGAGTTGAACAGTACCTGAGTGGGGAGTGAGGATTTAAAATAATTAAAACAAATCACACTACACATGGGACCGGTTGAGTGAGCTGTCAGTATGACTGAAGCAGCGTGGGTTTATTCCAGGGTTCATTTTTTTATAGGTAAAGCAAAAACAAGTCACATCAATTAAAAAAGAAAAGTTTCCTGGAAATGCCCAACTTCCTTTTAAAAACTACTTCCCTAAAGCGGATATAGTCCTTTTCTGAAACTAATTCCCAAAATTTGTTATGGTTCAAGGTCAAGCTTTTAAGGAATTTGGTGACACTTCCTCTCCTCTCTGTCAAGGTGAAGGCCAAGGTGAAAGCAGTCTTTCCGCTGAGGTCTAAATATCAAAGCAAGCTGGCAGACCAGGGGCTCCTGACACAGGTCTCATCTGGACTGGCTTCATTGTCTTCCTCTGTACCCTGGAAACAGTGCTCCCCCCTCAGGGGGAGGTGATCAAAGAACCAGCCACTGAGTTCATGTCAGAAACAGTCCCTGTTCTTATTACTAGGAACCCCATTTGGAGACTGAGCTGCCATGGGCTACATCTGTGCAGGGATTCTAGGGTTTCTAAGTTATCTCCATGCATAGTCTGTGGTATCAGTCTCAGAAAAGACCCCTGGGCCCAGATTTGTGGGATGTGCTGCTGTCCTTGTGGAGCTCCTGTCCCCTCCAGGTCTTCCTAGCTCTCTCTTCTTTCATAAAATTCCCTGCACTCTGCCCAAAGTTTGGCTATGAGTCTCAGCATCTGTTTCAATACCCAGATGGATAGAGTCTTTCAGAAGCCCTCTGTGATAGGCTCCTGTCCTGTTCCCTATTTTCTCCCTCTTATGATGTCTGTTCCATTTGCCTTTCTGAGTGAGGATTGAGCATCTTACCCAGGGTCCTCCTTCTTGCTTAGCTTCTTGAGGTATACAGATTTTAGTATGATTATCCTATACTATATTTCTAATATCCACTCATAAGTGAGGATATATATACCATGTGTGTCTTTCTGCTTACCTCACTCAGGATGATCTTTTCTAGTTCCCACCATTTGCTTGCAAATTTTGTGATTTTTTTTTTGTTTTGTTTTGTTTTTAATGGTTGAGTAGTATTCCATTGCGTAAAAGTACACTTTCTGTATCCATTCCTTGGTTGATGGACACCTGGGTTGTTTCCAGATATTGGCTATTATAAATAAAGCTGCTACAAACATGGTTGAGCAAATGTCCTCGCTGTGTACTTGAGCATATTTTTGATGTATGCCTAGGAGTGGTATAGCTGGATCTTGAGGAAGCGCTATTCCTAATTGTCTGAGAAAGCACCAGATTGATTTCCAAAGTGGTTGCACAAGTTTACATTCCCACCAGCAATGGAGGAGGGTGCCCCTTTCTCCACATCCTCTCCAGCATGTGTTGTCACTTGAGTTTTTGATCTTAGCCATTTTGATGGGTATAAGGTGAAATCTCAGGGTTGTTTTGATTTGCATTTCCCTGATGACTACGGATGTT